TTAATGTTGAGGCCCTAACTGGTCAGGGCCCGTCATGGCTTGGGAATTCCTTGTGGAGGGTCGCTGGAGGGGGGGGTTTATATCTGGCCTTACAACTAGTTTAGGATTGTTCACGTTTCGAGGTCTCCCCCCGTTTTACATGTGATATACCTTCCTCTGCCTCTCTCCCCACCCTCCTTCCGCGGAAGGGGGTCGTACTAGATGTTTTGCAAGAAGTCTACTTAGCGACAGGGCATTGCCTATTACTGGCACGGTATAACTAGTGTAGAACCACAACACTTTTTACTTGTGCAATATATTCTATGGCTAGGGTATCTCTATCTTTACCTGTTGCAGTCCGCGTTGATGTGCTACCCGATAACCCAGAGGAACTGATGATGCATTGTTGCCTGTTTCCTTTTCCACAAGGGCCTTATTGATTTATAGTACCCTTACCTTACCGAGCAAAAGCGCTTATGAGCACGATTTCCATGGTAATCTCTCGGCCCTCTCATCATCACCAGCGCTTCGCATGGCGTGCATAATTTCGTCCCGTCCAAGCACTGCGCTCCTACTGTTGCTTCGATCCTTTACTTTTATTAGTCTCATCAGAAAGATCACAGATTTTTTTCAGCAGACTGAAAGAAATTCGTGATCTAATACTGGCCTATACTGAAGGTTTCATAGTAAATGCAGTTCTCCTATCATCAGATTCCTCCCTTCAGCAAAATGTCCATATATAACGGCGCTGTTCGGGGGGGGGGGGGGGGGAAGGGGGGTTAGGGGGAGGGGCATTTTGCTTTTTTGCTAGTTTTTTAGTTCATATCAAGTACACTCTACTTCGCTGCGGACGGTTGGGCGTGTCAGCCAGTATGAGTGTGTCACCCTCTTTGAGCTGTTCTCTGCCTTCTTGTTGAAACGGGCATGCGACAAAAAGCAGTAGAAAACAAGTAATACGAAAGGTATGATACAGTATTGTCATTTGCTCGCTTGAACAACTCGTGGAGAACGAGTTTGGCACCGCGCCAAACGCAGCCGCACGAACACGCCCAACCGTCCGCAATGAACTGCACTATAGCAGGTTTCATTTTGTGAGACCACAAACTTCTATTAAGCTGTGGAAGTGAGGCTCTTTGGTCACAGCGATTCAGGGGTTTTCACAAGGTGACACGTACAAGCTTAGCTGAGTAGCATTCTGTGCCCGTGCCAAGCCGAATTTCGCCAACGTACCTGTTGAACAGTTACTTCAAAAGTGAAAGCGCACTTGATGACTTTATGCGCATTAACGGTTGAGTAGGCAGGATTGGGATTGCATCCTGTGACGTCTAAGCCTTAGAGTGGGTGTAAACTTACTGGCTGAGAGGGCGCATAAGGGCACATATGGTGGGGTAGCCGAAATTTGCCGTAGACTGCGCGATGGCGCACGTCGACGCACTGTTGCGCGCGACGACGCTACAACGCTTCTGCCCTGGACTTATATCGTCGTAACGATCAACATTTTCAAACATTCAAGTCCCGCGGTAATTTTCAGTTAGAAGATCATGCGGAATAACCCGTCGTATTTTTAATGGGTAGCAATAGTTGTGTTACTGTAATAAAAGAAGACGTACTATTGCTGTGTTACAGCGGCAAAGCTCTCATATCATTTTGGTTTCAGTTGTATCACTCATCTGACTCGGAACTTTCTTTTCTGTCCATTTCTTTCACTTCACGAGTCACGCTCTTCAATATTTCTTCCTGCAGTCGTATCACCATTCTGTCACTTCCAATTAGCCTTCCATCGCCATAGGACGACTCGGAATCGCCTAAGTTATTCATTACGATTTCTGAGCATGATTTTGATTATTTCACCACTCCGCTTCCCTTCAAGGGCCTGGCTGCATACTTCATTTGAACGTGGCACCGGCTGCACTTTTAGTGGGAGACTACCACTTTGGGATAGCTGTAATCATTTTCCAGCACAACACAAGATGGCAGTGGTCTCAGATGGAATTATCCCACGAAATGTGCAGTAAGCGCCACGTTCAAATGGAGTACGCGATCACGCCTTCCCCATCCCATTGATAAGAATTTCGTGTACTTTCAAATACTTTCAAATATAGCAACGGTAGAATTGGTTAGGTTAATTTTTCGAAACTCAGCTTCATGGTGCTGTTTGGCTCAAGGGGTGTGGGGGGGGGGTGGAGTTTGCACTTCTGTTAGTTCCGTTGATCATTCATGTTACCTCACGGACCCTACTTTGACGAGACCTGCTAACTCTCGTGAGACTGCAAAATGGTACAAGTGAGTCTTCTTGTTGCATGCATTCGCCGGTCTTCACAAGGTGGCCTGTGTTTCGCCTAGTACTGTATTCAGGCCCCCACCGAACCGAACTTCGCCAATTTGTGTGCTCACTAGTAATTTCCCAGTGCCCGAAAAGCCAGATGTATGGGTCCAACCAGCGCAGGTTGTGTATGGGTCTAACCAGCGCAGGTTGTGACTGTCAGCCTGCTGTGACAACTTGCTGCCGCAGAGAGCACGCTCTGACGAGTTACGATACAGGCCATGGCTGTCACGTCATGTTAACTTTCACAGGGGCAAAACTTTTGCTTCCTCATGACCTGTGGCGAACACCTGTTGTTTTAACAACTTGATGAGTGCTGACGCAACTGTGTGATAGAAAGGTTTCGACTGATTGATGACGCGTGAAAGGAATGGACATCAGGAAGTCATGAAAAAGACATGCTGTCCGCATCCTTCAGTGTTTCCTCATTGAAAAAGGAGGATGTTTGTCAAGACAGTCTTTACCGGGTCAACTCGACTTTGCTGTTCTAAATTTTCGGCATAGTATGTGTCTCATAGTCGTTAGCGAAGCTCATCGGAAGCAAAAGCACTTCGTCTTCCATGTCTTCGAACTCGACACTGAGAGTGGACATTTCATTAGCAACATTCTCACCTAATGGATTGAGGGAACAACCTCTCGAAACTTTCTGTTCTTCTGCGAGCTAATTGTAACCTTCAGCAGCATTCACGTAATGCTCGTCGACGCGCTACGGTTTCAGCAGCGCCTCTGTACTAAGAGCGCGAGCGCAGCCGTAAACGGGAATCGATCAGCATTGGCCACTTCTCTATTGAGAGAGTATGGGGGAACAGGAGGGTACGCGTTGCCTAATCACTCAGTCTGGTATCGAGCCGCACTGGCCTTTAGGCTTTGGGAGAGTATAGAAGAAAGTTCCAGATTGCGTGAAGACAGCGCCTACCCTCCTGTTATCCTATAATCTCCTCAAACACAACGGCCTGCTTCAATCTTCCATCTGCGGCTGCGTTTCGCGTCTATAGTCAGAGCGCTGTTGCAACTGCAGCGCCCAGATGCGCGTCATCGCAAACTCTGAACGCTGCCTTACTCTTGTCTTCGACTCGGCAGTATTTCTAGAACTCTCGCAGTATTTGTTTGATCCTTTCTCTTATAGGTGTTCTAAGACAACATTTACTGTGAACGGGAAAAGTAGTTTAATCTGGTGTCATGTCAGTGGCATGTTTTTGTAAGTTCTATTTGCTGTTTCTTTACCGCTCCGTTTTTCACATTAGGGTTTATTAACCGTTGGGCAAGATAAATAAGTAAAATGTTCAATTGCAATAGAACTGAAAAGATTCGTAAGGAAGTAGAAGCGCCCCATCCTAACCTCATTATCTTTTCTACCGCAGTTGCAAGCCTTACCTCGCTCTGGGGAAAGCGCATTTGCTTGGATTCGATGTGCTCTCACGCAATAAAAATCTGTTAGCCTTTCTCGCTGCTTGTTGTATCCACTCAATAGGTTGCGTTAGCAAAAAGCTCCAATGGCAGCTTTTTTCCTTGGAAAATCACTCCGAGAAGAATCTGCGATAGACCATAGGGAGAAGGCAGAAAGAGTATATTTGTATGATAAGTAAGAGCATAAGGTTCAAAATGAATTTGCTGGATTGGTTTGATGGTATTTTGGTGCTGCTAACCTCAGGAAAATTGCAAAGCCTTCGGGATGCACATGAAGTCTTGGATGGCTTCTCATACGAAGCAAGATAGCCGTAATCCATTAGAATTGCCGTTCGCAGAACTGCTTCATCTTTTCAGGCATAAGTAGAAGTCCTCATCTCCATTGAAATAATTCCAGGTTTCCGTACGGAGTCTTTCAAGTGCCTTCCCATGGTCATGAGCGCCTGCAGGGCTTACAAAACTCAAACTTGAAAAATCATGTTGCAGTTGTTGCTCACTACTTGTCTTTAGGTCTCCGATCTGGTGGAACCAGCGATAGCAGTGGCTCCTCTACCGTTGGAGGAGCCACAAGCGGTGCATCTCCAGTTCTAACGGGATGTCCGCGTCCGCAAAGTCTTCCTGCCTCGAACACTCATCAACAGAACCGGAAAAGCACAAAAGATGTCGAGGGTTCGTTTATAAGAAGTTTTCCTTGCTCAAAGCATTTCTTACCATTCTAGAGAACAACAATATTCGAGGTGTAGCCCTGTCGCCTGATCACGACGCTGCTTCGCACCATTCGGATTCTTCCAAGTCTCAGGGTTCACAACGATTAAAGCGAACAGAGAGCAGCATCAGCTCTGAGTCGCAGGTTGGATGTTTTTCGCCCTGAAACTCTTAGCTATGCTATAAAAAGTGTTCAGAAATCGACTGGTTCTGGATCGGGTCGTGGTAGCGTCAACATGTCTCAAGGAAGGGACAATGTTGCTCATACAGCGTTTGAAAAACGTACAAAGCAGCCCACTCCTCCTAAAAAAGAACCAAAGGTAATTTCGCGAGATGTAATCAGTCTAGGGGTGTCTTAAAGGCGAGGAATGTTGATGGTTTAGAAAAAAGTCATGACGGAAAGAGAGGTGATGGATGTTGCCGCTGGCCTTCGCGCTCTTAAAATTGGTGCCGTTACAAAAGAAATTGAGGATTGGATAGCATGTAAGTCGCTCAGTTGTCTATCTAGTGCGAGACGGATAAGGAGTGCGTCGTGTCGTCACGCGCGGGCCTTCGATGTGTATTAGTTTGTCAGGTGGAGCAGCAGAACTTAAATGAATTCAAGCGGAGACAAGTCGACGACGGGCCATTCCAGTCCCTTCTACACTCCCATTCGGACAGCTGGGCAGGGCAGCTATCCCCTTGAGGTGTGACGCCGCGCAATACGGACGAGTTGCCCTGCCTGTTCCTTCGAATTCGATTGTTAAGGGACGGGAAACTTGATATCGCTCGTCATGGGGTTTTATCCGCTTGAACGTCGATGCTCCAATCATTGACTGGCACGCTGCGAATTTCTCGCGCGCTGACGAACCATATTATGATTGTCTTGACACATAATCCTGTATGATAGTCAAAGTGTTTGTTTATTATTAGGTGGATTTGCTGATGATAATTTGGCCGAAAGCATTGGGTCTGCGCTTTGCCAGCATGCGATTGAAGGTGGTGGTGGGCGAGCAGTTGCGAAGCTCTGTGGAGCGTTGCGAGATTCGTCATCAGCCTTCGCTCTCTACAGGGTTAGATTGAACACATTTCTGTTCCAGTGCTGGGAATCTAGTTTTCCATCTGTACTTTCGTTTAGGGGCTTCTTCTGTCAGTTTCGCAATACTTTGAATGCCGAGATCGACTACGCGCTGATCATTTTCGCATGTGGATCTCTTTCCTCGCTTTCGTAGCCGATCTGTACGCGAATATTGGAGGCGGAAAAGACGGTGTGTTGTGTTTTCTACCCATTTCTCCCGATCTCTATCTCTTGCACTTCTTTCCATGCTGATGTGTTATTACACAACACACTTTCGCATTGATGTTTCATAAACTCTTAGATTTTCATTTCCAGGGGAACTTGTGAATTTTGTGTTCCAAGTGTTCGATTACCTTCTGAGGGCTCCAATTTTGGAAACGCTGAAAATTGAAGAGGTTTGTTCAGTTTTTTGATGGAGCAGCTATATCTGAACGTACCGTTTTCTGGATTTCACGGGAAGTTTTACTCCTGGAGTCTGACAACACAGTTCGCTTACGAATGCTTTTCATTTAACTCTTGAAATACGTTCATACTTTGCAGCTCGGTCGGCTGCGACCGACGGCGTTCCTCCGCCACTTTTTGAAGCTCCGCAACTTATAAACTCAATCACATTTGCAATAAAACACTTTCAACTATCTGAGTAACCATAAGACTGAGTAAATCAACAATTCAGATATAAAGACAAGTGTGGGGGCAAGCTTACATGATAGGGAAGGCGGAGAACTAGTCCTGCCGTTTGCAGTGGAGCGCCACCGGTTTCGGTCGCCCTGTTCGATACGTCAGACCCCGGCGCTGATGCAGTCAGGAGGCGGAGAGGGGAGACGAACATGACAATCGCAATTTGCGGCATCGTCGCGCACGGCAAGTTCTCGATATGAGTCCGTCTGTCGATTGGAGTAGCGAAACTTATATGAATTTATGTGAAGACAATACTCCGTGAAGAGTGATATCCATTCCCGTTTCTTAGAATTCAGATTCGAACGGCAAGTCAAGATAACTCGTCCTCGGGCGAGACATCACTCGCCACGCCCACCATCGCTACACTGCGATTCTTTTGCGTCATACCCGGGGCATTGGATAACTAACTCGCTTACCCGCTACGAGCTCTTGACTTGGCAAAACACAAGTTCCAGAGCATAGACGACTCCTGCGCCGCGGGTATTGCTGAGCGGACATGGTCGCACGAATCGGCCCTTCCCCCCCCCTCTCCAGCTCCTCCCTTCGAACAACGCCAGCGCCAAATTCCCCTAGACAATAACGATGGAACATGTGCAATTTACTGTGCAGTTTACTTGTATGTTTTTCAGTCTCTTATTTGGTTTAATATATTTCTGATTGTGCAAAAATGTTTTAGCGTAGTTGTATGTTGCAGCTGGAGTCCCTAATCTCAGCGTTGTTATCAGTGGGATATGACCTAGAACGGGAGTGCCCAGACCAGCTTTCACTTCTGAAGGATTTAATCAGGTGCGACCGCGGTCGTTACGCTTTTGATTGTTCAGCACCGTCATTACGTTATTGTAGGGATGCGTTCATTGATGTGTCTGAACCATGGGCTCGTAAAATGATTCTTCTGCTGCTGGAACTGGGAGCAAGTGGATGGAAACTCCCTGCTGAAGCAAATGAGTACTATTTCCAACAAACCACCAACTAAAACCCTGTACAGTGGCGTTGGTCGGAAGCACTCTTTTCAAATCTTATCTATATCATTTTAAACGCGTTTTTGATAGAATTTTTCTTTACTTCTCGTCTGGTTTTCAATCCCATGACTACTCGATGTACATACTGCAGTCGCTTATTCATGAGAGCTTGTTTTAGTATGAGATGTGCGACTCAATGCCATGACATCATGTGCAATTCTTTCTGCTGCTCACCCTTTAAATACTTTATTCAACCATTTTCTTTGTATATTTTGTATAATCCATGACAAATGTTTTTTTTTCATTAAAGTCCTCATAGTCAGTCATCTAGTCGCTCTATCTAGTTCAGCGCTATAACGTTCAGAAACGTTGCCGTATTATCATTCGTTTTTCTTTATACAGTTACAGTTAACTGCTGATTTTGCGCATGTTTAACTTGATAAGCTGTTGAAGTTTTCATCCGTTCTTTTTTATCACCATTATGTCCGCACATCGATTGATATCAATAGCAGTCACTTGCTTTCGCTGCAGCCTGCAGCATTTGAAGAAGTTTAGCTGGGCCTTGCTTGTATTTATGTGCTTCCAGTGCTGATACATTATTTCTGTGAAGAGACTTAAAAGGCTGCGGTGCTTTTACATGTTATGGCGATGTGCCTTGATTTGTTTTCTTTTTTGTTCGTAATATTGTACAAAGCTAACAAATTTTTAGAGATTTTTGTTATTATAATGTTACGGAGACGTCGGTAACAGAGCCGAGTTTTGTATAGTTCGCAAGGCGTCTAGCTTCCTCCCAGCATTTTCTGGGATAGGGTGGGATAGATGTTTGTATACTATCCTTCTCTACTTTATCACTTTTCTCTGACCATCAGATGGTTGAATGTGAAAGAGTTGATGTTCTGAAAGCGGGAGCGCGTGACGAAGTTGATTTTGTCATCATTACTGATCAGTTTCAGCGCAAATAGTTCAGTCATGTGATGAAAGTGAGCGAAGTGTTAGAAAGCGCCTAACTACACTGTCGTATGCTGCTTCAACCAGGCATACACTTCAGCGGAGGCAGCGTTCAGACTTGGCGATGACGCGCTGTAACGCGCCGCTACGGCAACAGCCCTCCAAGGATATAGACGCGAACACATGAGCAGACGGAAATCGATCGGCGCTAGCCTTTGGGGCTATGAGAGAGTGTAGAAGAATTGGAGGGTACCAGACTGGTGAAGGTGGCGCACCCTCTCCTGTTATCCTATACCCTCGAAGCACAAGCGACCGGCGCCGATCAGTTCCCTTCGCGTGTGTGGGGCTGAAGCGCTGTTGCAATTACGCTTCGACGCGCATACAAAGCTTTAAGGCTCCCTATGAAGATAAACTGTAGCTATTATTAGCTGAAGAGTGCTACATCTATGGTGGTCCTTCTCGGCAGACGTACACAGTCATCATGATCCCTGCAAACGATAGCGCGTGCAAGGGGCATGTAATGGAGCGTAACCACACCAGCCTTAATTACCAACTGCGCATTGCGCGTACTTGATGGTATCATTGGTGGAAGAGGCCGCCCTGGCTGCGTTCCATTCCACGCCCCGTCACACGCCCAATCCTCTGCAGGTCTTTGCGGGAAGAGGGGGAGGCGTAGTAGCACGATGATGTCACTGTTTTGCCATTGCTTTTTGGCATTAGGATAAGTAAATGAGCCTCCAACATGTGTGATCCGGGTTTGCCGAGAAGCGGATATAGGGTGGCACAGTTCCACTACCTTTGTTTACCATAGTTCCCTGCTTTCTGGAAGTAGAGGCTCTCAGTTTGTTAAAGAGCCAAACATGGCAGTTGCCATGTGATAAAAGGAGAAAGGATAAAAAATTCGAATCAGTCCATTTTCTGGATGAGCCACGAATTTACTTCCATACAGGATTTCAGCGTCGTTTTGGACGCTCACGGTTTCTACGATGACTTGCGGGGGCCGATGTACAAATCAGTGTTCTTATCCTCCGAGACGACACTTGTACCAATTTAGATTTAGTGGCAAGTGGCAGGCTTACCACACACGCGGTCCTGAGTGAGTCTGACTCAGGACCTGTGTGGTAAGCGTGCCACTTGCTACTAAATCACTTCTCTTTGCTATGAGATATCACTACATTTCTAAAACTTGGCAGTAACTCACCGTCAGAAACTAAAAAGACTCAGATTGTGCTCCACTCCGTTATTCAGTCCAGCAGGAGTAGACAACGCGACGATCGCGAACCTTATTACTTGAGTCGTACCTTCCTTTTCACCCACAAAACATAGGCGAAGAGAAAGGCTACTATTAGAGAATATGGGGAGATTTCGAGATTTATGGCAACCAAGGTGACAGAGTAATACTAACCAACCAGGAAGAAAGGTGCCACGCTTGAAAAATGGACACCTGTTACGAAACACTAAAGCGCAGTGAGTCACTCCGTGCGACATTTTTCCCGTTGAAATGTCCCCATTTCCCCATCCTCTCAGCCAATCAGAAGATTTCGTCTCTATCCTCTATGAAGGTGACCGTGTATCGTGAACTTGTTCGAAAAATTTCTCTCATCATAATTGTCTCCATTCGGCTACAGTAGTTCAGGCAGAAAATACGCGCTGTGGCGCTCATAGTGCTGTTTGTTGAATAGAAGACGCTGTTCTTTAGAGGTGTGATATTGTGATGCAGTGGTTCGTTGGATGTAATTCTAATTTTGCACAAGGAGTCTTTCTAGGCTGGCAGTGCTACGAGAATCGCTCTTTCTTCGAACTTTTGGGTCTCACTATTGATATTCTGTCGCTTATAGCCCCACTTAGGGCATTTTCTGCAAAAAACACCCAAAGAGTACTCGCGCCACCTAAAAACACGCACGCATTTTTTTACCGGAGACACAAGAACCATAAAGGAACTTCTTGTTTGCCTTGTGTTAACGCATTGGTGACCAGACAGTCTTCGCGTGCCTGTTGTGGGAGATAAGGCCATTTTTTTCTGCTGCCGACAAATGCGACTCAATACTGATACGCTCCTAGGCCAAAAAAGTACAAGAAACTGTCAAAGCTTTGTTGGCTGTGAATGCCTCGAAAACCGGCATAAATCTTTTTCCTGTGATCCAGGCAGAGGGGGGCAAACTCTAAAAGCAGATTTCGCTCCATAATCGATAAGCGGCATTGGATTCTGTATTCAACCCTCTTCTCTTTGTTTCTCATATTTATCTGATAGTGAGCTCCTGTTTTCTACTTTATCACATTTTAATGTAGTTTTTGATACAGAAGACTGTTATAATTGGTTTTATTTATCGTTTTTGACTTTAATTATTTGGTTTCAGAGTCGCTATCGATTGGTTCCAGAGTAAACAGGAGCTCACCAGATAAATATGAGAAACAAAGAGAAGAGGGTTGAATACAGAAAGAAAAAAACATAAAAGCTGGAGTTCGGTACAACTGTAGCGCTACAAGTCTGAACGCTGCCTTACCGCGTACAGGCCCCACCCACCACGGTCAATCTTCGCCTACTTAGGCAGTCTTCCTTCCAGTCTTGGTCTTGGTTTAATCATGGTCTTGGAAGATACAAAGAAACGATTGTGAGCTAGCAGAATAGGGAACTTTCTGTTGAAGCCTGAATGAAAGGAGCTCAGGGGTGAATCAAGCGGTCTCTAAAAGGAGGAAGACGGACAAGGCAATCGTAGCTCGTCGCAATACCAAACAAATCCAAATCAGATCAGATTTTCCCATCCATCTGACACTGTTATTCTAGTGACACTATTCACGACAACTCATTTGACTGCCGCCTAAACCTACACCCGGAAAAACGGCCGGACGAGTTTTACGGGCGCAAGTCGTCCACTTCGTTGTGGGACCACGCGTCCCTTTAACTTCATTTGAATTAGGATACTTCAATAAGAGCGGTTTTTTTGCAAGATTATCGCTTTTGTGCGTAATCACAGTTAATATTTTCGAGATCTGCTTCTGCTTAGATTAGGAAACATGAAACCTGAGGTGCAACCGGAAACTTGAACACTTCAAGTGCATCTTTTGTTTTAGGGGTTATATCCCGTGGGGTGCCACCATTTTTAAAAGTTCTGCCACTCAGCGTTGGATTTCGACGCAGGAAGATATCTACATCCTATCTTCGGTATTCTGTGCACAAAACCGCTGTTAGAAGGGCTGTTTGTTAGATGTCTGGCGCGCGAAAATTTCCGTTTGACATGTGGTTTGGAGACACTTTTGACTCGCTCAGTTTTAGAGAGCTCTCGAGGGAAAGAACTGTTGAGTTTAGGAGAACAACATCCAGTCTCTGTCATGCGGAGGCTCCGGAGCTAATCCAGAAAATGTTAACTAGGCGCTGTTTTTCGACGGGGGGGGCATTTCGTACTATCACTGCTTCCCTTGTTCCGGTTTGCAAATCTCACTTTGGTGAAACTTGTGAACTCTTGTGAAGCTGGAGCAGGATCGTCTAGCCACCATCCCAAAACGTGTCAACTCGAGAAAACTACCTAGATGGGTCGACACATCTATGGAAAGCAAAATGCCCCCCCCCGTCGATAAACTGCGCCTATTAACTATGATTACGCGCAAGAGTGAAGTTAAAGGGAAGCGTGGTCCCACCGGCCGTTTTTCCGGTTGTAGGTTTAGGCGGCAATATCGTTGGGGTGTCTATCAGTTAAAACTGGGGTAGATACCTCGACGACGTCTACCTACTTTTGATACCGTCATGATCTTACTTGCGAGTGCAACAGCCGACGCATATACTAACCAGCTCGAAGTTCCGCTTCCCAACTACCCGGTTTTGTGCGCCGTACTTTCACCGACTTTGCTCCCTGGAATGTCTCTCACGTAAGGCAGCCACTGCCTATTCCCTATTTTCCTCTTCTCAATAGTAACTCTTACCTCGCTCTTGAGGTTACCTTTGGATTTCGAACCATTTTAGTTAACTGCCGCCTAAACCTACACCCGGAAAAACGGCCGGACGAGTTTTACGTCCGCAAGTCCACTTCGTTGTGGGACCACGCGTCCCTTTAACTTCATTTGAATTAGGATACTTCAATAAGAGCGGTTTTTTTTTGTGAGATTACCGCTCTTGTGCGTAATCATAGTTAATATTTTCGAGATCTGCTTCTGCTTCATTAGGAAACACATGAAACCTGAGCACACCAACTGCTCTTCTGTTTTTAAAGGGAATACATCCCGTCGGGTGCCACCATTTTTAGAAGTTCTGCCACTCAGCGTTGGATTTCAGCGCAGGAAGATACCTACAACCTATCTTCGGTATTGTGTGCACAAAACCGCTGTTATAAGAGCTGTTTGTTATATGTCTGGCGCGCGAAAATTTCCATTTGACATGTGGTTTGGAGACACTTTTGACTCGCGTTTTAAGGGGCTCGAGAGAACTGTTGAGTTCAGAAGAACAACGACAAATCTCTGTTAGATCTAGATTCATACTGCAATTCTTCACAAGCCGCAATGGTAAACGAATTCCAGCAAAACATAAGCACAATGTTTTAAATGCAGCTATAATGGAGAAGAGTACAGCTGCGTGAAAACGTGAATTAACTCTTCAGGATCATTGGCAGATATTCATGCTTATAACTAGGCCCATTATAACGCAGTCCACAACATAATAACGCTCTTACTTGTATCCTCCCACCCCCTTCTGCAGGTGAACGAGAGCAGCCCCGAGTACAAACATGGGAGCCACTCTTGCTCATGCGGAAGCTCCGGAACCAATCCACAAAGCCAAAAGCAGTATGCACTTAGCCAAAGCACGAAACCGGTAAGTCAGTATCCACTTTCATCAGCCTTTCGAAGCAGAAGCAGATCTCGAAAATATTAACTATGATTACGCACAAAAGCGATAATCTCGCAAAAAACCGCTCTTATTGAAGTATCCTAATTCAAATGAAGTTAAAGGGACGCGTGGTCCCACAACGAAGTGGACGACTTGCGCCCGTAAAACTCGTCCGGCATTTTTTCCGGGTGTAGATTTAGAAGACAGTCCTATACACAAAAGTTAACGCGCCATAAAAAGTAGACTTGCGAATAACTTGGGGATGCGCGGAAACGGGTACTTCGCTATCAAGCGAAAGACAGTCAACGGAGCAGAAGATAAATATCACTGAAGGATGCCCAACCTCCAGCAATGAAGGTAAATATCGGCAAAATCCCCTATTTTTGTGCTAGAATGAGGCATCAACAATAGAGGCTTCCCGATGAAAAACTGGAAAATTGTGGTTAACTAAAAACCCCCGCCTACACCTACACCCGGAAAAACGGCCGGGCGAGTTTTACGGGCGCAAGTCGTCCACTTCGACGCGTCCCTTTAACTTCATTTGAATTAGGATACTTCAATAAGAGCGGTTTTTTGTGAGATTACCGCTCTTGTGCGTAATCATAGTTAATAGGCGCAGTTTATCGACGGGGGGGGGCATTTTGCTTTCCATAGATGTGTCGACCCATCTAGGTAGCGTTTTCTCGAGTTGACACGTTTTGGGATGGTGGCTAGACGATCCTGCTCCAGCTTCACAAGAGTTCACAAGTTTTACCAAAGTGAGATTTGCAAACCGGAACAAGGGAAGCAGTGATAGTACGAAATGCCCCCCCCCGCTGACTTTCTAGAACATAAATGGCGAACCGACTCATACCGCGGTAGGAGCAAAATTTTTTCGGAACCAAAGAAGAATCAGGGCCCTCTCACCTAGTTCACCTGTTATCGATCTCACAGCTTTCCAATCTTGTCTTGTTTTAATGAAAACATCTCAGACGCGGCTCGCGGCGTGCGATGACTCATCTGCTCTTCTGCTCCCTCCTCGGCAAAATAGAAGTAATTTTGCATTTAGGACATGGATATAACACCGACCTAGCTATATTAATACAGTAACGCTAAAAAGTCCGAAGAAACAGTTTTGCTGCCTGTTTGTTGTTGACTGCTATTGTTGACTACAAAAGATCAAACATTTGTTTCGGCTACCGTGGGATTTCTCAGCAAGTCCCCGGTGAATCTTGTTTTATTCTAATTTGACTGCTAGAATCGCGCTTCAGGTATGCGGGTGGCGGACTCTAGCTGGAGTAGCATACGGTAAGTTACTGTATGCCACCACCCAGCGCATATCCCGAGGCGCGCCTGATTGCTGACCTCTCACTGGCTACTCAACGTAACGAGATGAATCGATTTGTTTATTCACAAGGCTGAGTGTTAGGAAGGAAATTTCTTTACAATGGCAATAGATTTACAACGAAACAAATAAAATGCACTCCTTAACATTCGAAAAATTATATAGTTCTACTATGGTTTTTTGATTAAATTATTATTAATTAAAATTATATGGTTTTTTGTAGAGGGGCGTCTTCCTGAAAAGAAATGGGCGACAAAGGTGGAGGAGCTATCGATGGGTCTGTGGTTTCACGAGAACTGGGCGACAAAGGTGGAGGCGCTGTGAGGAATTTGTGATTTCGTGAAGAGGAATGGGCGACAAAGGTGGAGGCACTGTGCAGGAATCTGTGATTTCCCGAGGAGGAATGGGTGTTGTGATTGCATGCACGGTCCCGTAGTAGACATCGCTGGTAGGCTGAAGACCATAAGCATTTCTGGAGAAATGCCCTGAACTGGGGTAGATGTCAGGAAATATGCAGGTGCAAAGCCACAGCAGAAGATGCAGAGGATCGGAGCAAGTGGCGACGTCTAACAAGAACAGCGGACTCGGGGGGGGGACTAACGCTAGGGAGAAGAAGAAGAAGTTTTGGGACGGTACTGGTGTGAAGATGATGCATCGGCGGAGTAGCAATGTAGAAGCTATCCGTGTAGAGTGATTGGGCCGGCGATAGAGCAGCAGAAGCATGTAGGGAACTGGGTCGAGTAGAACCTGTGAGGAGTGAGTTTATGGAAAAGTCATGACAAGACGCGGTGTAGTAGGCGCCTGAAAGCATGCTCGTAACGACAAACACGCACGAGGTGTGTTATGACGAGGTGCTCATCGAGCTTTATAAACATATTTTCAGGTGACCTTAAATATGGAAGAAAGAATTAATGTAAGAATTAATTTGCCTTTGGAAGGTCATTCGATGTATATGAACACCTAAAAACAGAAACATTTAAAAATTTCAACACGTTTCTCTTCGATGCGAACATTTATCCTCAACCCAATATTCATAGAATTACGAAATTACTGATTTTAACTTATCAAATCCGATTATCAAACGGATTCGAATCGATTCATCTCGTTACGTTGAGTAGCCAGTGAGAGGTCAACAGTTAGCGCTGCAATTAAGCGCGGTCATGCCGCAGGCGGGCCTCGGGATATGCGCTGGGTGGTGGCATACAGTATCTTACCGTATGCTACTCCAGCTAAAGGTGCTCACCCCAGGTATGCCGATGAGTGAAGAGCCAATGAGTACTCGCCGCGCGCCGCGTGGTCCCCCCAAATACGTTAGCACCCAGTTTTACCTTGAATCATTACAACTTGACAGTAAATTCTTTGTACAATGTTCACCTTATCTCGCGGTTTCGCAATGGATCGCACAGTCACCATCAATCGAAATCGCTCTTCTTTCGGTGAGTCGAGCGAATTGTCGAAAGGAACTCTCAAAGTAGACGGTCTTTCGACTAGGGTAATAGAATTCATTGCGAAACCGCGTCATGCAGTGACCTTGGGGCGAACTGGTCAAGGTAATGCTGAAATTCTTCACCAGGTTTCGCTGGGAACCAGTACACAAATGAAGCGATGCCGGAAGGAGGAAAAGTTCGAGCAGCGCTTACGAAGAACCAAACCAACGAGTAGTAAAGGTGCGTGCACAACATGGGTCGGATTAGTATTGATAGTCTGGTAGAAGAACTTATACGAAGAGCATAGGACTCTTCAAGTGTGTGGACATGACGTCCTCGTCAAAAACGTTGTGTTGTAACCCGGACATTAGTGTCTCGAGACAATGGCGAAGATCGAGTGTACAGTATACCCTGGGGATAGTGGTTCACGTAGTTGCGTTTAAAAAAGATAAAAATGCTGTGTAAACTCCTGAAAATGCATAGGAAACAAATGGAGCCCCGCCCTGTGAAAACGATTGGTTCTCCGATACGGTGGGTCATGTGAAGCGTTTGTTTTATCCGCAATCACACAACTATTGTTTTCGATACAGTAGTCAAATTCTCTTCAATCTTTTATTTTGCTCGCTAACGCTTCATTACTATATTTCGTGTATATTTGTCTGTGTTATTATTTTACAGGTGGCATAATTACTTTCAGTTGCACGGGGGACTTCGAGGAAACCCAGTCAGAAGACTCAGAAGGAGTTAGTGGTGGCTACAAGTCAGTTTTCCTGTTTGCTTCAAAAATAATTACTGTTTCAGAGCTTCTGTTCATAGCTTTTCATAGAAGTAACTTTCGTTTTTTCTAATTTTGATTGTTGCCTTTTTTTGGTAAGAAGGTAGTAGATACTTATCGAACTTATTTTTTCTCCATTGTTTGTGTGTATTTGGGCTACCTTCGCATGTGCAACAGAAAAGACTGAGGCTGTTTTTTTCTATACGCTGCAGTAAAATATGTTGAGAACCAGAAGAGATGTTGGTCATAGTGTTCACGGTTGGATGGTAAGGTAACACAGTTTTTGTCGAGTACGTGCAGTTAATGATGAAATTATATTATTTAGATATTTTCCAAACCGCGCTTCTCACTTTCTCTCGAAGCCGAACCTTCCTTCTAAATGCAAAATCAGGAGCTCTTTTTCAGAAATGAGCGTACTCAACAGGCGAGACCCTACGCAACAAGTGAAGTTAGAACAGTTCATGAGCCACTTCAACCAGGGACGTTCAAAATTGATGGAAGCCGTCGAGAATTGACGAGAAGTATGATGGTTGGTAGAATGGTTTTTGCTGGGCATTAGTCTCGATGTGTCGCTTTCTTCTTATCAGATTCCTTCAAAGAGAAAAAAGTTTTGGTTTGCGAGCTCTACAAACAGGGCATGGACGAGTTCAAAAAGGTGGGAATGCTTTGCTCTTTTTAGAACCGGTCATAGTCTCCAAGTTTTATTGGTATAGGCGGAAGCCATAAACGTCATGGATGTTCCGATCGAAAACAGGAAAGAGGTCGCTGATTGCAAAGAAAAAATGAAAGGCTACCATCGCAGTGCGCAGGAGCGCTTTATTATTCTCAGTAAGTAGATTCGTCACTGAGAATCTTTTGTAAAAATATAATTTCTAGTTTTGTTTCAGTGAATAAAATAAAAGGCACAACCAGACCAACTCATGCAACTTCGCTTCCTGGTACTTCAAGTGCTCGCGTCGCTTCTCCTGGACGAAGAGGAGCTCGACTGAATTCCGCACCAGCGGTAAGTGATTTTGGTAAAAGTTACTTTTACATTTCTTATGTAGTTTTTGTCGATATTCTAATCGTTTACATCCATGTCAGGAGGGTTTTTGAAAGCAGTCCCCGCGTAAGCATCCTTCCTTGTTGAAGTAGTCTGGTCCTTAGTCCCCTAGAATCCTTTTTTTTCGCGGCTTTGCAGTTTGTAACAAAGCGCTGCGGACCCCACAAGTTGCAGTTCTGACGCTTACTCAGTTCCCCGCCCATCAAAAGTCGAAGACTATTTTCTGTTGCGAATTCAGCATTTGTACCCGTTTTGGATCCTTTCTTTGGTAGGCTGGTATTAACGTCGGATGACGCGAACAAACGATTAGTGAGCTAGAAGAGGCAGGATATAGCTTTGATGACATGTAACAAGCAACTCCGGAGAACTCATACAGTGGAGCTGCCAGGGCTCCTTGTTTATGGTGTTCTCCATGATTTTATCCTGGTTTTTTCCTCCCTGGAGAGTCACTTAAAAAAATGAGGCACTATCCACAATACGCCTCGCGCTATTACTGTGGTATTCAGCAAAAATAGCGAGGATTTTCATTTCTTCTTTTGCAGGGCCCTCTTTTTTTCGCTTGCTGTGAAACTGTATAACTATTCCTTAACGATACGTATATATAGGAATATAAGTTATAAGTTATATATACGTATATAAGTTCTCCACTCCCACACGCGATTTTTTTCTCTTTCAAATCTCATTTCACATCCAGTATGTGATAATCCGGTTGTCATGCCCCCAGTTTGCCGTTTCATAACTGATTCCAGTTGATCGTTGTCTTCGAACATTTTTTTGAGGGGGAGCGGTTTTTAAGGAGCTTTTTCAAGAGTGACGTCTGTCACTCGGCGAGCTTTTCGAACTCGGTTTCGCTCAGAAACTTATAATCATGCCAGACCGTTATCATGCATATTTTAGCTCATGTAAATTGACAAGGTGAGTTACGGCCGCCCAGGTGCTGCCCAGTGCGGATATTTTTAATCGGCGTGCCGTCGTAGTACGCGATCGATTGTGTTGATAGGGCGTTTGAGGAAAGAGCCAGGATTCAAGAAATATCAGTTATTTTTTTGTTTATTCAGCTGTTCAGTTTTTATACAAATATGTGATAATGTAAAACACATGCGGACAACTGGTATTGATCCTGAGCGCGAGGTGAAAAAACCAACAGTTTCACTGACATCATGCGTCTTCAGGATGGGCTTGTGACAACAGAATCGTACTTTATCGCACTGCTGAGCGAAGCCACGATCGTGAGATGAGCTATCTTGCCTGACGCTACTTGTATTCCAAAGCGCAATTACAGGACTTGGCAAAAAGCCAAGAGAGCTGCACGCGACCGCGCCGCGCGGATGGTGTTAGTAAAAACGTGAGGGCGGTGTAGCAAGGAATTACGACTTTCCCACGGCCCCGTACTCTGACCCCGTGCAGTTTTGGGCGGGGGACCACGACACATCGACAGCTGGGGGGCTGATAGTCTCATACACCCTCAATGTGTTTGAGCGTACCATGTGTCTTTAAAGTAAATTTTAGAATACGAAACAGATTGGTCAAAAAGTGGCGTACTATACACATCTGCACTTAAAAGAAACAGCATAGTCAGAAAGGAAAGCAAAATAACTACTCCAACCCATATAAGCATAAATAAACCTCAACACGGCGTCATCAAGCTCATGCGGTCGATTTGTAGCTCCAATAACAAGGATTCGATCATCAGGATTACTAGTAGCGCCATCGAACTGGAGGAGAAATTCAGTTTTCATTCTTCGAGACACTTCTGTGTCCTTCTCGGAACGATCGCACAATATCGAGTCAATCTCATCTGAAGATCAGCACTGTGAGGGAAGATGAACAATTGGAGAAGCTAGCCCTGTCTGAGTAGAATGAGAACAAGTGCAAGGGTATGTGACAAGACAATCGTAATAGCCACGCTGGTGGACGTGGCGTGCGACGCCGCGCAAGACGAACAAGTTTTCCTGCCTTGCAGTTAGAATTCGAGTGCTAGGGGACAGGAAAATTCTATGATGCCAGTCATGGACTGTTGTCTCCGTTTGAGTTCACATGAGTTCTGCTACACCAGCTGACTAAAATATTGGATCGTATCGGGGATATGTCGCGCATCGCAATACGATACACCACTCGCGACGCGCGACAAATCACGGATATCTTCGCCCACCTCCCCAAATGGACTAGTAATTTCAAAAGTTTGAACTTTTACTAGTTGGTCTTTCTCATATGACTCACACTTGGCTAAATGGCAATGAGTAACAAAATGATGGCTATTAAAATCTCTAACCGATGAAAATAATGGCTGGTTGAGCATTCCTGGCAATTTGGAAAAGGCTACGTATTGTTTTTTCAGCATCTCCTACCCATTTCGAAGTTAAACTAGCTGCTGAAATATTGAAGAAGACTTGCCGCGCTTCCGATGCGGCAGCCTTTGCCTGGAAAAAAAAATAATAGATCTACCTGAGAAGCAAGGCTCAGGCTGCGTTGATAATTTTCACTGCTTAACTGAATTGCGTAATTTTCGAGCGTTTCGACCACCTAGACCGTCTTCGGCGAGAAAGAAGCTATACGTTTAGATCTAGCGTTTTGGAAGAGACGCCAGCGTTTTTAACGCTTTGAGTGTTCCGAGCGCTCTGGGCGAGAGGGAAGTTCAGGTATCAGTGGGCCAGCTTTTGAGTTTCGAGTGTTTTGGAAAAAAAATCCAATATTTCGGGCGAGAAATGATAGCGAAACGCCCGAAACGGCAAAATGCTGGCAAAAAGTATAAACGCAGCCTTGAGTGAAATAGTGCACTCACGAGCATCGTCTTCCCGTTACCCGGAGGCCCAAACAACAGAATACCCTTTACAGGCTGACGAAGACCACTGAATAGCCCCGGATTCAAGGCTGGTAAAATTACAGCCTAAATCAACATCACTCATGATATTTCGAATGTGAAAACGTTGCACAGAGAGTACCTCTTCCAGTGCTTCCTTCGCTGATTCACAACCTATTACATCAGAAAAGCGAACGCCTGTTCGATCAAGCATTTCATCCAGTAGGCGCTCTCCGAATTTGGGGTCCACTCCTCTGAGAAGCTGTTGCCGAGGGGGAATGGCTGGACACGCGTTCGAATTGTGGTTCTGAAATCAATATTCTGAACATATAGATCACAGCAGACGCGTAGTAGATTTTCCTTGAGCAGACGACAGATTATCTATGCCAGGCAGACGGACAACAGAATCATGGTCTACCGGGCCGTCGTGCGCGACAAATCGTGCGGCAGTGCACCGGCTTATTCTAGAAATGCATTAGTCTGTCGGTCTTAGAAGCGAGATTCAAGCAAATTTTAGTGGAGACAAGACTCATGGCAAATATTTAGAGCATTCAGATCGCTTTAACATTCATCAAACGGTCAGGCAAGATAGCTCATCTCACGATCGTGGCTTCGCTCAGCAGTGCGATAAAGTACGATTCTGTTGTCACAAGCCCATCCTGAAGACGCATGATGTCAGTGAAACTGTTGGTTTTTTCACCTCGCGCTCAGGATCAATACCAGTTGTCCGCATGTGTTTTACATTATCACATATTTGTATAAAAACTGAACAGCTGAATAAACAAAAAAATAACTGATATTTCTTGAATCCTGGCTCTTTCCTCAAACGCCCTATCAACACAATCGATCGCGTACTACGACGGCACGCCGATTAAAAATGTCCACTGGGCAGCACCTGGGCGGCCGTAACCCACCTTGTCAATTTACATGAGCTAAAATATGCATGATAACGGTTTGGCATGATTATAAGTTTCTGAGCGAAACCGAGTTCGAAAAGCTCGCCGAGTGACAGACGTCACTCTTGAAAAAGCTCCTTAAAAACCGCTCCCCCTCAAAAAAATGTTCCGAAGACAACGATCAACTGGAATCAGTTATGAAACGGCAAACTGGGGGCATGACAACCGGATTATCACATACTGGATGTGAAATGAGATTTGAAAGAGAAAAAAATCGCGTGTGGGAGTGGAGAACTTATATACGTATATATAACTTATAACTTATATTCCTATATATACGTATCGTTAAGGAATAGTTATACAGTTTCACAGCAAGCGAAAAAAAGAGGGCCCTGCAAAAGAAGAAATGAAAATCCTCGCTATTTTTGCTGAATACCACAGTAATAGCGCGAGGCGTATTGTGGATAGTGCCTCATTTTTTTAAGTGACTCTCCAGGGAGGAAAAAACCAGGATAAAATCATGGAGAACACCATAAACAAGGAGCCCTGGCAGCTCCACTGTATGAGTTCTCCGGAGTTGCTTGTTACATGTCATCAAAGCTATATCCTGCCTCTTCTAGCTCACTAATCGTTGGTTCGCGTCATCCGACGTTAATACCAGCCTACCAAAGAAAGGATCCAAAACGGGTACAAATGCTGAATTCGCAACAGAAAATAGTCTTCGACTTTTGATGGGCGGGGAACTGAGTAAGCGTCAGAACTGCAACTTGTGGGGTCCGCAGCGCTTTGTTACAAACTGCAAAGCCGCGAAAAAAAAGGATTCTAGGGGACTAAGGACCAGACTACTTCAACAAGGAAGGATGCTTACGCGGGGACTGCTTTCAAAAACCCTCCTGACATGGATGCAAACGATTAGAATATCGACAAAAACTACATAAGAAATGTAAAAGTAACTTTTACCAAAATCACTTACCGCTGGTGCGGAATTCAGTCGAGCTCCTCTTCGTCCAGGAGAAGCGACGCGAGCACTTGAAGTACCAGGAAGCGAAGTTGCATGAGTTGGTCTGGTTGTGCCTTTTATTTTATTCACTGAAACAAAACTAGAAATTATATTTTTACAAAAGATTCTCAGTGACGAATCTACTTACTGAGAATAATAAAGCGCTCCTGCGCACTGCGATGGTAGCCTTTCATTTTTTCTTTGCAATCAGCGACCTCTTTCCTGTTTTCGATCGGAACATCCATGACGTTTATGGCTTCCGCCTATACCAATAAAACTTGGAGACTATGACCGGTTCTAAAAAGAGCAAAGCATTCCCACCTTTTTGAACTCGTCCATGCCCTGTTTGTAGAGCTCGCAAACCAAAACTTTTTTCTCTTTGAAGGAATCTGATAAGAAGAAAGCGACACATCGAGACTATGCCCAGCAAAAACCATTCTACCAACCATCATACTTCTCGTCAATCTTCGACGGCTTCCATCAATTTTGAACGTCCCTGGTTGAAGTGGCTCATGAACTGTTCTAACTTCACTTGTTGCGTAGGGTCTCGCCTGTTGAGTACGCTCATTTCTGAAAAAGAGCTCCTGATTTTGCATTTAGAAGGAAGGTTCGGCTTCGAGAGAAAGTGAGAAGCGCGGTTTGGAAAATATCTAAATAATATAATTTCATCATTAACTGCACGTACTCGACAAAAACTGTGTTACCTTACCATCCAACCGTGAACACTATGACCAACATCTCTTCTGGTTCTCAACATATTTTACTGCAGCGTATAGAAAAAAACAGCCTCAGTCTTTTCTGTTGCACATGCGAAGGTAGCCCAAATACACACAAACAATGGAGAAAAATAAGTTCGATAAGTATCTACTACCTTCTTACCAAAAAAGGCAACAATCAAAATTAGAAAAAACGAAAGTTACTTCTATGAAAAGCTATGAACAGAAGCTCTGAAACAGTAATTATTTTTGAAGCAAACAGGAAAACTGACTTGTAGCCACCACTAACTCCTTCTGAGTCTTCTGACTGGGTTTCCTCGAAGTCCCCCGTGCAACTGAAAGTAATTATGCCACCTGTAAAATAATAACACAGACAAATATACACGAAATATAGTAATGAAGCGTTAGCGAGCAAAATAAAAGATTGAAGAGAATTTGACTACTGTATCGAAAACAATAGTTGTGTGATTGCGGATAAAACAAACGCTTCACATGACCCACCGTATCGGAGAACCAATCGTTTTCACAGGGCGGGGCTCCATTTGTTTCCTGTGCCATTTTCAGGAGTTTACACAGCATTTTTATCTTTTTTAAACGCAACTACGTGAACCACTATCCCCAGGGTATACTGTACACTCGATCTTCGCCATTGTCTCGAGACACTAATGTCCGGGTTACAACACAACGTTTTTGACGAGGACGTCATGTCCACACACTTGAAGGCTTTGTTTCCTATACTCTTCGTATAAGTTCTTCTACCAGACTATCAATACTAATCCGACCCATGTTGTGCACGCACCTTTACTACTCGTTGGTTTAGTTCTTCGTAAGCGCTGCTCGAACTTTTCCTCCTTCCGGCATCGCTTCATTTGTGTACTGGTTCCCAGCGAAACCTGATGAAGAATTTCAGCATTACCTTGACCAGTTCGCCCCAAGGTCACTGCATGACGCGGTTTCGCAATGAATTCTA